TTTCCCTCCCTCTCTTTCATTATTGAGACATTTTTTTCTTTTGCTTCTTGGGGATCTCAAGGACAATTAAACATCCCTTCTTTGGGGCAACCCTTTACCTATAAAAGACTGCTAAAAGACTAAGAGAGGTGGGGCGAAAGATAAGTCTTCCAGTGGGTAAATGTAAGAGTACTGTGCCTGTGTGTTGTCCCTGCCCACTGTCAGAGGAAGAAATCAACATAAATTAGAGCATTGAAAACTTAAATAAGGTATGGAAAAGTAGCGAAGCACTGGGAAAGTCTGGTTGGGGAAACTGTAGAATCCCCATTATTGGTATTTTGAAGACCAGGCTCAACAATAGTCCTGATGGTCTTCATCCTGTCTTCCTACAGGAGTGGGGAACGTGTAGCTCCTCAGCGGTCAGCCCTCTGTCAGGGTTCTGTAGCTCCCAAACTGTCCTGGGGTGGGAATTTGACTGTAAAGGTGGCTGCAGTCCTTTATAGTTGAGTCATAATGAGAGACGTCTGGCAGGAGAATGAATGACTACTTTGATATTCCATAAGAAATGAAGCATCTAAATGAAACAGGATGTTTGAATGCTCAGAGTCCCAGCTTGTCTTCATATTTTGCTTTCTGCGCTAAGAGGAGGGTTCCTTGAGCTCATTCTGAAGCAGAGAGTTTCCAAAAAACCAGAAGAAAGCTAACTGTATTAGTGTGTGATTTTTTTTTTTTTTCTTCCCTTTGTGAATCAGAAAGGTATTTGTGGTACAGAAACTTACTCCAATCCAGGAGGACAGGCAGAGCCAGCACCACTGCTGCATGTTGCTGGGAATATTTGACCTAATTGCTGCCAAACAGCCATGTTGCAGAAGCATCTTCATAGTTCAGCTGACTAGTGGTGAAGGAGTGCTGAAGTGGAGTCTCAGCGGTGATGAATTTACTCATGAGTCATTTTTGTCACACGCTTTTAATTTGACTGATTCATTACACAAACACATGGTTGTCAGAAGCCCAGTAGCTTAATGGCATTAAAGTGTGGTCACTTAGCAGTTCCTTTGCAGTCTATGGCAACTGTGCTTGCTTGATAGACTGTTCAGAAAATGCTATGGTGTGCAGAATCTTTGTTTTCTGAAGAAATTTTTAGGACCAGTTTAGGGAAAAGAAAAAGGCTAGTGGGGTGCATTTGGCAAAATATGCATATAGCACTGGTGCCTGCCAAAATCAGCATTTGCTGTAAAATTACTTCGCATGACTACTTTGTATGTTGAGGTTTTATTTTTTGCATACACGAATGTGTCTGTGCTGATACGCTTTTGCAGATGTTTTCCTTATGTCCATTCTTGAAAAATGAAGTCTCCATAATAACCAGGTGTTTATTCCTTGCTCTGAGGTTCCAGGGGAGGGTTTTCTTCTGCATGATGAGTCTGATAGGTGACTGATTAAACATTGCAGTCTGTGTTGCAAGCTACTGATTCAGCTGTTACTAGGATCACGTATAATTCTAACAGGAGTTTGGCTGAATGAGTATGTTAATTGGAGACATAGATGAATAAGGTTAGTGATTAGTGATCAGGACAAAAAATGCTTTTCAATTGCAGAAGAGAGGATGTAAAATGGAGCTCAGAAAAAAGGGGAATTTTATGATGATTAGCTAAGAATGTATGGGAGTCAAAGCTTTAATAGCTAAGTGCTTACCCGACATTTCTGAGAGGAGGAGGTCAGACCTTACATGGAGGTGGCAGCAATTACGGACATTTCAGTGAGAGGGGAGGTTTGATTTTTGCAAGTTTCTATGAGGGGGGGGAAAAAATGGACAATGATGTTTCATAATGTGAAAATTAGAAATGTAACAGAAACTAGTGGTGGGTCCCCAGTCACCTGTGTGTACGAAAGGAACGAGATTTTGTGTTAATTTCTGCACCATGATTTAGATGGCATCAGATGTGTAAAAGTACAAATCCTAATGAACTAAAAGGCTAGAAAAATCTTGAGATGCTGTAGCATTTCTGCCTGTCCTAAGGAAGAAAGCTGGTGGAGTAGCTGCAGCCAGGCTCAGGTACAACTGAGTACCACAAAAGTGAGGGGAAAGGGACTGAGCAGAGAGAAAACTCACTTTCATGCATTGCTGACTGATGATGCTCCTTTATCAGTTAAGCCTGTACACTTTTGCTGGAAGTCAAGAGGGCTGCAAACTGCCACTGCAGTAAGCTGTCACTTGAGCAGCTCTTGCCTCTGCTGGCCTGCTTGCTTGCAAAACAGTTATTTTCAGGGATTTCTTAGCAGCTTCCCAGAACTATTGTGGTGCTAAGAAGGCAAACATAGGTTCACAATTTTGAGAGGCATCAGTTCACCCTCACATAGGTGTCTAGAGAGCAGGGCATTTGGGAGGATGCCCTGTGCTCCGCTTCTTCCTCAAGCACAGCAATGCACTTCTGCGGAGGGGGCCTGGGGAAGGGCACACCCAGGATATTTGGGAAGACAGCATGGTTGCACGATAGATAGGTCTGCATGGGCTGGTTGAGATCTCTGTGAGCAGAGTCCCCTGTGTGCAGGAATCTCTGGGAGATGGTCCAGGCCTTGATGGAGAACACTGAGCAATCTGAAAAATGTCTAGACAGTCTGTCTCAGCATCTCCTCTCCCCTCGTTTGGAGGAGAGGGAGAGCTGCCAGCCTTGTGTGATATCACTATTCAGGTCCTCCAAAGCACTTGCCAAGCACCTCCTGCAGAGAGAGGGAAATGAGGAGCTGATGTTTCAAATATAAAATAAGCAGGAGAAATATCTTCTGAGGTGGGAAAGTCTCGAACTTTCCTGTTATCTTACAAAGCAGCAGCAAAAGACAAGCTTCCCCCATCTTTCCTTCAGTAGCTATTGTTAAGTTAAACTTCAGTGAAAATGTTTTCAAGATGAACAAAAATGCAAAAAAAACAATTGAGAGGGTCTGATTCTTGTTTTAGCAAGCTGCAGGGTAATGTTCACTGAAATTATTTCACAGCAACTTGAAATTTCAAGCTGATGAACATTTTCCACCCCCATAACATTCAGTTATGGAAATGAAAAGAAATCATTTTTCAGGTGAATATTGTTTCCATATAGGGTTAAAAACCTAGGGGAAGCAGAAATGGGAAACATTCCTCTTGAGTATAAAAAAGAAAAACCCCCAAATGTTATTTTTCTTTTCGGTTGGCTTTCAGACATTGACGAATGTTTACAGAATGGTCGTATCTGTAATAATGGACGATGCATAAATACAGATGGCAGTTTTCACTGTGTGTGTAATGCTGGCTTTCAGGTGGCAGCTGATGGAAAAAACTGTGAAGGTAAGACTTCTCTGAAGTTACTCTGTATCAGTAATTACACTTGCAAGAGGTTATTCATGTCAATGAAAAGGACCTCTGGTGGGGGGGAAGGGAAGGAGTCAAATTTCTAAATACCTTTTGCTGTATCTGGGAGGGCAAGTAAACTGTCTTTTGCAGCCAGTTCTGGAGCCTTGGCTTGGCAATTCTCAACGGGATGTCTGTCCAGCAGGAGAAATAGCACATACCACTATCGCAAAATGCAGTTTCTTTGATGGGAGTGGTACATTTTAAAACGGAGCACAAGTCACATGCTGCCTGATTTTACTGTGTGTTTAACAGCATGCTTTATGGGATCTTGCTGGGTGACTAGCAATGTGTTTTATGTAGATGCAGTCTGGTCTGACCCATAAAAACTGTTTTAAGAAAAATTTGTAAACATAATTGATGTGTTCCTACCTCCCAGACCTTTAGTAAAGGGGGAAAAAGAAGAATGTTCTTTATCATGCTTCCCAAGGTCCTTGGGAGGGTTCCCAATGATCTATTCATACGTTAAAGGAATTTCAAGCAGTGTTCTTAGAAACATTTTTGGCAGAATATTATCTCAGTGATTCAGCTCAAAGACTTAATGCCAAAATTCCTGGTTGGGATAGATACACGATTTTTTTTTTAAAATCATAAATTATTTTTGTCTGACTTAGCCTGTAAGTAAAAAGAAAACACACCATGTCTAGAAGTGTAATTTCTGTCCAAGACAGCTGCAATATTAAGGAAAATAGCACGATTCCGAATATATTGTAATGTCATTATGATCCAGTGATTTTATGTGCTAGTAGTGATTCTGTTAATCCTTGGTAGAGACAGACATTTTAAGACTCTGTTTTTCCTGACTCTTTTTTAGATACAGTTTAGCACTGTAAGCTGCTTTTAAAATATCTTATTATGGAACTATATCGACTAAATATATTTGGAAATGAATATATTTTGGGGAAAAACTTGATTCTGATTTCTTCCTTTCCCACCAAATACCATGTGCTAATAGTAATAAGAACCAGGACATCGGCAGTCTGGTAAAACATTTTTAATTCCATTGCATATGTTGCCAGAATGTCTGTTGCATCCACTTATGAAACAGTTTCATCTCTGGCATTGTAATGCATTGAGTTTTGTTCTTAGGAATACATGTGCACACACACTAATCAGTAAAGACCACTGGCATTGTGCCATACCTTAATGTAACTGTGTATAGTCCTCTAGATGAAACTGGTAAATAGCGCTGATTTTTTTGGATGTAACATCCAAAACTGATTTCATTTGCGCCAGGATGAAATAAAGACTAAGATGATATAAAAGCTTACTCAAATCAAGCACAGAAGTCTCTGTACTTGCCCTTTTTTTTTTCTTGAGTTTTTTTTTTGTGTGTGAGTAACTGTGCAGGGTTCAGAATAGCAGTGTCTAGGACCTCCACCTTTTCCTACTTGAATCCTTCATGCTATGCCATTAGGTCAGAGGATGAATAATGCTAGTATGAAGCTATGGTTAGTGAGTACCTTACTGTGTGACCTGTCATGCTGAATCCAGGGAAGGGGTAGATTTTATTTTAAATGGAAGTTGATGATGAAAGTGCCCATAGAATGCATGCTTGAGCACAGTGCTGGGAAGTCTCTCACATCATAAATCTTAGACTCATCCAGTGGAGGTTACAAAAGTTTTCACTCCAAACACAAATGCCCACTCCTCCCCTTTCAAGTGTTCTTAGTAACATAAAATTGTGTTTACTACTCCAAATGGGAGGCTGCTTCTAACTTAGCTTCTATTTACATCAAGATTGCAAACCCTCTTCAATTACATACCTTTCTCACTTTTTTAAGGTTTTTACCAACTGGCAGTTCTTAAGCTGTCCGGTTTCTCATCTGTTTTTCATTCTCTTTGCTCTTTTTGGATGCATACCTTTCTATGTTAATGATTCATTATGAAAAAATGAAATCATTGCTTTAACACATCCTCTAGGACAGTGCAGTATGTCTCATCGTATGTTTCTGATTATCATATACCTCTGACAACTAATAAAGAAATTAAGGTTTATCTTTTGGATATAACTAGTAAGAGTTCTTTTACTTAAACACTATGAGCATTATGTCTGTTATGTACATTTTCAGATATGGATGAATGCAGCATAAGGAACATGTGCCTCAATGGGATGTGCATCAATGAAGATGGCAGTTTTAAATGCATTTGTAAACCAGGGTTCCAGTTAGCATCTGATGGGCGTTACTGCAGAGGTGAGCACAATAAATTATGGGTTCCCAAAGTTTGTGAGTCATATCCCTCTGGTAGCTTGAAGAATCGCCTTATTTCCTTACAGTGATCCTTGGGGACAAGAAATACTGGGCAGAGTTCTTGTCAGATATGCTTTCTTATTCAGCTAGAATGATTTGTCATTGTGCAAGACAGTACTCAGTCTTCTCCACAGTGTTGAGCAACTGCCCTAATCAGCCAGTGGGAAATATACTTTGATCAAGGACTCTGTGATCTGACCTAGTTAAACTCCAGGGTTTTTTGTCTATGAGATCTTCTGCAGTTTGGCTCCAATATATCTCACTTTTTGTGTTTAACTTTTTAAAGTTTTCTGCCTTTGGCCACCCAAACATCCTGGCTCATTGCCTTCTTTGGGTTTTTCTCCCATTCCTGTCTGGGTGTTCCTAGTCAATGCAGTATCTCTGAGGAGTGCCCAGCACCCCGTGTGACCGAGATGCAGACATGAGCACCACAGCAAGATTGTCTTTTCCATTTGCTGTGCTAGCTCAGCAGTACCCCCTGTGGGAGACACTGCAGCGTTCTGGTTGCTAGTTATGTCATCAGAGTTTCCGTTCAGTCCCATCAGGAACTGGAAGTTTTGTGTGTATAAATCTTCATGTTTCAACAAGTTTTATAGGCACAAAGCAGAAGTTGGAATAAGGAATAAACAAGTACTGGGCCAAGTTACTTACGGTTTTTCTTTTGAAAAATTTAAAATCTTTTAACTCTTGGAATCAAGGCAGAAAAAGTGCTTGCTTACACTTCGGCAAATTTAAAAGAATGTCACACTGGATTACACAGCAGCATCTTGTTGTGGACCAATAACAAAAGTAAATGTTTGAATAAATAATTTGGTTTTGAGAGTTACTGACATGAAAGGTGAATTAATTTGGATCCTGTTGCTTCTTGAACACTGTATCAGTCTTAGATCTGAATTGCATGGTGTCTAGACTTAGACTTAGATCCAAACCAGGCCAATAAATCCAGTAAAACATCCGGAACTTCTCTTGCATTTGATAACTTTTGCACCAGCTATGCAGGACAGAGCTACCCAGCCTTCAGCGGGGGAATCATGTATTTCTAATGAGAGACAACCCCATTCTTGCTTTGTAATATGGTTGTTTTGATTGGGAGAATGAATTGTTCTTTAGTTTCTCAAATGAACAAATGTGCAGATCCATACAAGTGTCTCCTGAGCTTAAAGCTACTGGCTGTGTTGGCTGCAACCTTCACGCACTTAGAGCAATCAGCTTTATTTCTGTTCTTACCTGTTTTCCAAGTGGTAGGTGTATGTCTGTGCTTTGCCAAAGCTTATTTTCCAGCTGGTCTGTGTGTGAGGTGGCAGTGAGACTTGGTCTCAGACTTGGCAGGGAAGAACTCGATGCCCATCAGGCCTTGGCACATCAGCCAGTCATGTTGCCAAAGACCACTGGCTGCTCTCTGTGTCGTTAGTAGGGATGTGACTCACTGATGCAAGCTCAGCCCAAATGCTCGTCTTGATTTTTGCCTTGAGCATCTTTTGGTATTTTTTCTTTTTTTCTTTTTTTCTACATCAGTCTGTGCACTGAAATGCCATCCAAGACGATGGTATGTAAATTGCTTCAGACTACTTAAAAACCAATGATACTCAACTTCACAGCCTCTGTTACATGCCTCCTGGCTAAACAGGAGTATGGATACAGCCAAAAAGGGGTTTCTGGCCCTAGAGAAATGTTACTCCTGTGCATCAAAGGGAGAATGTTTGAAAATTATCCAAAATTGCAGGCAACTCAACTGATTCCTACTGGAAGTTGGAACAGATTTTATAGTAAAATGAAGGATTTCTCCCACTGCTTTTCAACACTTACAGTAAGCCTTGTTCTCTATGAATGAGCATGCAAACATTCATTATGTGTTAAAATTGCTATTGGGTCAGAATCAAACCAGATTTTGAGACCTTGACACCCAAATTACACTTTTTCCCAACTTCATATTTGTCTCTTTTCCACTTGCCCAAAGTATCATGAAATAATTCCCAGGAATGTAGTGGCTAGAGAGAGCACAACTCTCTGGTAAATGTCTCTAGTCATGTTAGTAAAAGTTTAAAAGATTGATCTTTAACAATTCCTGTACATTTTAATGTTTATCCTTATTGAGTCCTTTCTGTACACACCGCGTACGAAGTAAATGACTTCTGTCCTACAGAACGGTTAGCCTTTGAAACACTCATTGTTCACACTGCATATGCTGAATTTGTTTGTGAAGTGAATGCATTGAGATCTTACACAAGCTTAAACTCTAAGCTCATGCTTGCACATGCAGTGAGTGCTCATGCATATTGGGAATGTGTCTATGCACAAACTGACATTTCTGCAGCGAATTGGCTACCTGCCTGAGCGATTTTGATACGGAATTGAACATGTGTTTTTGCCAAACTTTTTAGGGGATCAACAAAGGAACATAAGAATTGCAGTGTGCAATACATTGCTCCTATAAATATCTCATTTGATGCACTCTAAGCTGAATTTTGAACTATGAAGAATTTCTAACCCAAAGTTGGGGATACTGTAAATGACACAGTTCCATAAAACTGGAATTTAAGTATAAGTACAGGGCATATGCTTGGCTGTCTGGTAAAAAATTCCACTCAGGCTTTATGAAGTAATATGCCAAAAAAGAATGTTACACCATAGTCTTGTGTATTCCCTGTAATACAAGACATACTAAACTTATTCACCATCAACTTCTTTTGCTGATGATTTGCTGATAATTTTTCAAAAATACTTACATCAGGCAGGCACAGGTTTAAAGCATGATTTCTATTCCATACATTGTTTCATCTTTAGACCAAACAGGAATTCCCCCAAATTGAAAGCTATTGCAAGGCAACTGAAAGTGGCAGTTTAGTAGTCTGAGTAAATTTTTCCTGATTAAAATTAGAGGACTTAGTGTACCCATCTGGCACTACTGAGCAAGCTAAGCAGAAAAGGCAAAAACTCATTGGATATGGAGAACGAGTCCATTAGGTGGTTTTCTAGAACCAGGTTGAGGTATTCTGGCAAAAGTCAGAAAAAGTCAGTATTTTTGAAGTTGTCCAAATGGCGACTTTTGCCACAGAAGACAGCGGAGCCTTGTCAAGGTTAGAAATTTGGACTTTATGCCTGCATGTGCAGTTAACTTACTGGGTAGAACCTCAGCCCTGGTAAAAGCAGAGGCTTTTTGCCCCATCTTTACTGGAGCCAGGTTTTCAGCTTTTCAAAGTGACCCATTTTACCTTTCTATAAAACATCTATAACAGTATTTTCAACACATTTGTAAATGGGTGCAAAATAAAATGGATTGTACATTTCACCTCTTGTTAGCTTACAAAATCTTTTTTAAAAATTAACTACAGGAAAAGGAAAAAAAGTAACTTTGACTTTCTGTTTCCTTAATGTTACTTAAGTTTTAAGGTTGCTTTCCTTTAAGAAACCTTAAAAAAGGAAAGGTTTTTTTTTTTTGGTGTTTTGGTTTTTTTTTTTGTGTTAAGGAGAACTTGTATCTGTCAAAGAGTTCAGTATTGTCTAACAAAATAACTGTCTACACTGTTAAATAGTGTGGGCACATTTTGAAGTCCCAACTCTGTCTTTACTTACACTGAGTAAGGACTAAATTTAAAGTGGGAAAAGCATTTAAGATTTGTCTGAAACAGAAAAAAAGATTGCAGGGTGAAGTAGAAATGAATGTACTTAAATATAACTTCTTCTTTAAAATGCAGTTTGAAAAAGGAATCTTGGATCATACAAGCTGTGTTTTACGCCAAACAACACAAACGAAGTAAAACACAGAGGTGTTTCACTCTCAATTTGCCCTTTTAAGGTCAGAAAAAAGGAAATTGTCACACACACTGTCTCTTGTATATATTATGGAGAGTTGTTATGAAGTGATTATTTTATAAAGGTTATACATACTTCCAAACAATATTTTAAACACTCCTTTTCTTTATCACTTATAAAATAATGGCATGCTCTCTGTGTTTAGAGAATGATCTTATTATTAACAGGATACACAGCCTATATAATTTTTTACTAATTTGACATCCCTTTGTGATAGCCTAATATTATAAGGCTTCATTCTTGTATTTCATTGCTAAGGGCCCTATTGTTCAATGTACTGTTGTTGGGCAAAGATGGTAGCTTGTGCTCGGCAGTTGCTCAGGGCTCAAATCATTAACAAATTCCTTTCAAGGCTGGAGTGCAGTCTGTGCATTGAAAGTTTATAAAATGGGCTGTAATGAGCATCTGATAGGAAAACCCAATTGTCATGCAGATCACCGGAGACACACTACATGCGGGCAGGGTCTAACTGTGGACATTGAGATTCCACATTCAGTACTTCCAAAAACTGAACCCGCAGCAGGAGGAAGGGAAATTATTTGGTGGCCCTGTGAAGGCAGGGGTAGAGGGGGGTGAAAGATTCAATTTGCTATCTGGACTGATTTCTTACAGCATAAACTGTTAACACCGAAAGGGAATGCCCTGTTACACACTACAGAAGTCCTTTGTCTTAGCAGTCACAGTTTCCTCCTTCCTCTGATTATATTTTTGCCTGAATGACCCTTAAATCGGAATATGTACCTCTTGGGAACAAGTTAGGAAAATGTAGTCCCTTTTCACTCTCCAAGGAGAGTGAAATTATTTTGTTCTGTTTATTTCTCCTGAATTTTGCATTTTCTTCTTCCATTTCACAGAATGAATTAATCGTTATTCTTAATAAAACCTTTACTTGAACGAGTTTCCATTTACACTTGATATTTTTCTGTAGGATATGTTGAAAATAAGCTGCACAAATGCATGTTTCAGCCAGGCATTGAACACTATGTAATTTAATTTCTAATAAAGCTCATTCTGTTCTCCAACAGACATAGATGAGTGTGAGACAGCTGGAATATGCATGAACGGGCGCTGTGTGAACACTGATGGCTCTTTCAGATGTGAATGCTTCCCTGGCCTTGCAGTAGGACTGGACGGACGCGTGTGTGTTGGTAAGACAAGCTTAATGTGTGGCGAGTCACAATTAACCAATGTCAAGGCATTAATGCTAGACTGGTAGATAGATCAAGTTTGAACGTAGAATTTACCATTTTTTCATGGATTAGTGGGTGGTAGTTATAGTGGATGCTAACAGCTCAGGGATATTTACTGTAATAGCCCATTTTGCTCTTTTTTCTTTTCCTTTGCATTTAAAGAGAAAAAATGTGTGGGCCAAATCACAAGGCCAAGTAGACTATACAGCATAGTGCTGTTGGAGGTGAGTAGTGCTGTATCAGTTTTGAGTAGGTGAGAATTTGCCCCATTTCTGTCAATGTAAAATTCTTCATTTGTCACTAAGCTTAAAGATTTAATTACTCTTTCACCCGTTTTTAAAATGGGACATATCAATTTTTCCACTTCTGCCTGTTTCTGTATAAGTGAAAGATGTTTGAGGTGTTTGATTTTTAAAATTCTAATATGTCTGACAGCCATTATGGGCCACTTTTTAAAAAGTGAGAAATGTCACCCCTGAACCTGAAAAGATAAACATTTTAAATCTTATCACTGGAATATCATTACTGAGTTTTTCTTTGTTTTTTGCAAGCAAAGAAAGATTTTTTTTTTTTAACAGCAGCATATTTTGTGATCTTTTCCTGATGCAAGTTTTTCTTTTTCTCTCATTCTGCCTTTTTTTCAGGTATAAAATGAAAACAAAAGCTTTAGTGTGGCCTTAGTGGGATTAATCCAGGGTGTTGCACCAGGGATGATTTTAGCCTTGATGAATCAGAGACAACTAACAAGTTGGGAGGGGGAGAGAAAATACTTCTTATTAAAATCAAATCAGTCCTCTAACTCTGAGAATAAAGTAAACAGTACTGAGTTTTTTTGGAAGGTTTGAGATACGCTTGGTTATAGCTCTGAGATCCTGCCTCTGGGCCTGTCAAGTTACAAGTGCGTAGTGTCCCTGTAACATGGCAGAGACCATGTCCCTTTTCCCCATGGCTTCTTGCTAGTTCAAGGTTAAGTATTGGTTGTTCCCCTAGTAGTTCACTAATGCATGTTAAGTCATTAAATGCAGTAACTAGTTTGTGTGTCTGAACTCTTAGGAGCATGAGGAAGAAGAATTTCCTGTCCTGAGTAGAGTGAGGATATAGGTGGGTGAAAAGCATAGGGAAATGGTGAAAGATGTTTTGTTTTGACAGCTATTCTACAGTGTTTATGACACCCGAGCTAGATTTAATACTTGTTGTAATTTATGGCAGTATAGTTGGCTATGGCAGGATTAAGAGAGATTTCTCTCCTCAGATACACATATGCGAAGCACATGCTATGGTGGCTACAAGAGAGGACAATGTGTGAGACCGTTAACTGGTGCAGTTACAAAATCGGAGTGCTGTTGTGCCAGCACTGACTACGCCTTTGGGGAGCCTTGTCAGCCCTGCCCAGCGCAAAATTCAGGTACGGCATATTTACTGGTACATATTCTAATCTAAGCTTTATGTTGATAAATTATTTTTAGAAAAGTAAAATACAGTTGTGTATTAAAATTGCACCCTAAATCAGAAGGGTTAAATTGTTGTCTGTGTGTGTATACATATACATTATACATGTATATATATTTTGAGCAATCTGCTATTTTGCATGTTGGAAGAGTACAGGAGAGAAATTTTTGAGGCAACAGTAAATGCCAATATCTGGGTCCAGAGTTGTCCACACATTAAAACAGATTTTCAAACAACGAACTCTATTTGGATAAATGTGGATTACAAAAAATAGAATTTTGACCTCAAGTTATTGACGGAAACATCTTGAGGAATTCATATATTCAAATCCTTATGTACACCTGTTAGTCAGATGTTTGTTGCCTGAATTCTGCATCTTTCAAGTGATCTGAAATTGTTTATACAGTAAGTAGCCTTTGGCTAGTCAATGCAAAAACAAACGTCCAGCTAAGTTGGTTGAGAATACTTGAGTCTCTCACTGAAATCCCCACCAAGGGAAGTTGTCTGGAACATAACTTCTCTCTGGCAAGAAAGCAATCCTAATCATTCTCATGGGCAGAATCTGCTTTTAGGAAAGCACTTCTTCCAAGAAGAGTCCTTGTTGTGAAGCCATTAAATAAAGAGACCCTGGTTTCATGGAGGTGACTGACTGCAGGGAGCTAGTTTGAAGCCCAACTTTGTTGAGTGATTCTTTTCACTCAGCGAATTTGTTGTTGCATATAAACAAAATATGCCATTCAATCAGGAGTTCAAAAGCATCTCATACTAACATGGTATCTGCTTTGTAGGCAAAAATAATTTTAGATTTATTTTTTAAATCTTAGTTTTAACTGATAGCTTTATGAAAAGCATTAGGGAGACAAAACCATTTGGAACAAATTAGGCTGGTTGAGCTCATGTGAGCTCTTCATCAGGAACTTGCTGACCACCATTTTATAACATGCTGTGTTGTTTAGAATAGCAAAACACCAAGGAAATGTTACCAGACTAGGAAGGAGCCTTTGCAGCAGCCTCTGCTGATATCAGTGGGCTCTTCTTATTGTACAGTAGAGTTGAAATCTTTTGTAAATGTTGGACTCTGTATGATTGACTTCTGTTTTATATTTGAGTTACGTTAGCAGAACATTTACATATGTGGAAGCTATTTTTCCTGTGTTATCTTTCCCACCTCTTCAGTTGTTAAAAAATGCCATCTCATGTAGGGTGAAGTATAGCATTTCTTTGGGCTTTGAGTGGGGGAGGAAAGGAGAAGATTTTTTAGAAAGGAACATTGTATCAGAGAGACTGAAAAAAATTCCTGAAAGGAAGACATTTGTCCCTCTGTGCTCCTCAGAAGCTCTTTGCAGAAGTTCCTGCCATTCTAGACTAAAAGTTTTGCTGATGAATGTCCAGAGCAGGTCTGCTTTCACATACAGTGGCAGCGATTATTTGATTCAAGCAGGGTACATATTAATCTGCTGGTTATGATAATATTGGGAGATGTTTTGCATGTGATTTTCCTTAAAGAAAAGACAGCTAATTCCATAAATATTTTCAATATTTATTAATTTTAGCAATGTAATTATTTGGGCTGTTATTAAAGTGCAAATATATTGGAAAATGCTGACCTATATGGCAATAATTAATGCTGATCTGGGTGTCAGTTTATTCTGTTAATTGTTCTGAACTCAAAAGAAGAACTTGAACCCAGCAGTAATTGAGATATTTGAGATACTTTGATACATATTTTAATTTTTTTTTTAAGGATAAGAGATCCTTGATGTTCTATGAACTCCTGAAGACACTCCTGCTAAATGAAGTTAAATACAGGCTAGATTTATAGGAAAACTTTCCTGGTCACTTTGAATGTGCACCTTGAGCAAGGGCTTGGACATAGGAGTTCTGGAGAGCCTTGCTGTGAATATGTTATGGTTCGTTTGTGTAGGAGGGCCAGCATGAAGTTTATGTCTATTCCTAAATGCCTCAGTTCACCATGTGACGTTTTTACTCATCCATCTTCATGAGCAGATGCAGACCCTGAATCTGCTAAAATGTTTCACAGGTTCAGAACACTGTGAGGCTATTAATGTTTGTAGAATAATTGACAGGCATGTTATTTCATTCTAATAATTAATTGGCATATTGTAAATGATGATGCTAAAAGCAATAAGCTAAGGAAGAATATTCCAGTAAATATTTTAATACTTTTCCAGCTGAGTATCAGGCTCTGTGCAGCAGTGGAACTGGCATGACTGCAGGAGGAAATGGTAAGATCACCTAATGTAATTCAAACTATAGCAGTTCTGATATCCTTGATTTGTTAGACATGCTGGTGGCAATGATGGCAGGAAAGAATGAGAGGAAGGCTTATTCAAATTGCTGTTTGCAACACATTAGAATAATTTAGGATGAAATGAGTGGAGCATGCCATTTCACCAGTGCACCCTCTCTGTTTTAAGCCATGGAATGTATGTGAGTGCTGTTATAAAATAATGGCAAGTTTGTGAGAAGTGTTATTACCTATATGACTTAGGAATCATATATGTAAGTCATATTTGCACATTTCAACTGAAATCATCCTGAAGAATAAAGCCATGTTGAACGTTGAGCTTCCTCACATGTTTCCATCTGTCAAAAAGGCCAGGCTGACAGTTAGGTTAATTGCAGAGAAGGAGCAAATGATTACAATAAAAGCTTTGTAGTCATCAAACTGTGAAACTGCAAACTCTAAGTCAGCCAGTACTCACTAGTAGATTTGCTGGCAGTAGAGGGAAAAGCATTCAGAAAGGAAGGATGTTCATGCTTTGGAGAGTGATGCCATCTGGAAATGCTATGAATCAGGAGGTACAGGGGGGTATTAATACATGTGCATCTCTAAATGTAAGACCCCAGTTTAATATCCCAGTTCTTATCTACAGTTACAATATTTGTAGGCTAGAGATGGTCTTAAGGCAGTGTGAAAGGGATGCTTTTTTTCTCTTGAGTGTCAATATTTAGGTGTGAATTCCCTGAACAGAACTACATGATTATAAATGTGGAGCAGCCAATGTTAGTGATATTGAAAATATATCTTTTTCTAGTTTGGAGAATTAACCCCCTCAACAACTGACTCTCCTTTTTTCATTTTTTCTTTTTACCTTTATGTAGATATTAATGAGTGCTTACTGGATACCGATCTCTGTCCAAACGGAAGGTGTGAGAATCTGCATGGAACATACAAATGTATTTGTAATCCTGGATATGAAGTGGATTCAACTGGGAAAAACTGCATTGGTATGAAGTGTCCCATTTTTCATTTTGAAGTTTGATACTTGTTTTTATCCTCCTTCACGTTTTTTATCAGTGTTTCATCAGATCCACTAGCTGCTTTTCTGATATTTCTGGAAGTTTCTGCTGAATTCTTGTTTTAATTTCAGTGCTTTACAATGCTTATAAAATCCTCCATTGTGGGGCTGTAAGGGACCGTTGCCATCAGTGACTCAAATCACTGGCAACCAGGCAATAAATATCCAGTTCAGTTAAGTCCACTGAACATGCACTCTGCAGTACCAATGTTTCTCAAAATCAAAAGAACCCAGATCCTGCAATTACAATGCACCACAGGAGGGATCTAGGATCACCAGTGTGCTAGGTGCCTCCAAGAGCAGGGGATTTAAGTAAAACTCCCAACTGATCATAAGAAGATAAGGATCCCATACGCTACAGAAGGCTTACATGGTTTCTCCCAACTCTGACTTTGGGGAAAATTCCCTTTCAACTTTAAGACAGGGCTATTGGTTTAACTGTGTTAAGTGTACTGGTCAGACACAGGAAAATTCATTGTCATTGGAAGCACCAGCAAAATCTGATGGCATGGTGTCTCTAGCTAGGGCTGACTTCCTGTGCTGTACAAGTGAAAAAAATCTAAAGCCAAATTTTTCATCACAGAAAAAGTGAAATAAGTTCTTGCTCCTTAGAGGTGATCAGTGGAAGCACTGTGGCATGGGATTAAAAGAATTCAAATAAGTAGCTGTCCGGTCTCTTGTCATGCTATCTGGGATGTAGAAATAACCATCAGATGCCTGCAGACTCCTGTTAAGAATTTTTATTCTGGCAATTCTCATGTTCCATTACAGGGTCCCATCGAAAGCCCATGACTTAAAACCTCTTAGATTCTTTTCTTCTTCTGGAACAATGCATTTGTGCATTGTTCCAGATCTCCTTTGCACAACTGATTAGAAATTTCTTCTGGTTTCCTGCTAAAATTTTTTTGTGACCATTTTATTATCAGTTGATGTTGTACTAATATTATCCTTTGACTTAGCACCATGTCAGCGCTTATCCCGAAAGTATTTGTAAAGAATCATCACATCCTTTCTCAAACTCTGTTGGCTAAACCATCTAAATCCACACTTTCAGTCTTTTCATAAAAGCAGAGGCTGTAGCCTTCTCTTGAACACAACTGATCTGACCAGTATACAGTGTCCTGATGAGGACTGACCAGTGCCTTGTATAGTGGTGCCAGCAGTTCTCCATTGCCTCTAGGAATATCCTGCCTAAACTGATTCTAGAGTGCGTTAGTCTGTTCTCAAATACATGTTATACTTTGGGATCAAAGTCAACCTCTAATTGGGAGTTACATCCAGAGTTTTGTCTTCTCGGTAGCCTTCAACTGATGAGTTCTGGTTTATAGCACGTTATTGTTATTGGTCCCTAATTGCAAGGTTTTGAACGTTGATGATTATATTTCATCTTATTTCTCTTATTCACATTGTCAAGATTAATTTAGTCTTGCATGATTCTCTGTATTGGTAATACAAATCCTTTTGTTCCAGCTTAGTGTTGTCCACAGTTTTTGATCCCATTCATTTTTTATTTCTACATTGCAATGAATATTTTCTAAGGCCAGTCCCAAGCCTGATCCCTGAAAGGCATTGCTAATATCCTCTCTCCATCATGATTACTCCCCTTTTACCCTACTGTAATCTCTCCTTCAGCCAGCTCTGGAACCACCTTAAAGTTCTTAAATTCCTTCGTGTTATCTCCAGCTTACATAATAATTTTATTTGGGTTCTGTATTCTCTACTTAAACCTAAATAGCTTAAGTCATCTATGTTATCCCAGTCTAAACTATCCACTATCTTATTTAAAAAAAAAAAAAAAGAGTTGATCTATCTTTGATAAAAGTCATGCTGTAAAATTCATCCCATTTTCCCATTTGCTTCTTTGGCTTTAATTATCCATGTCCCATTTCAGTGTCTGCCTGTAGCTTATGGCATCCCTTCTCCCCATCCATCTGTGAGTTTTCCAGCTGCTTCCCAGCCCACCCCGTTGCAGCCCACATCCATGCTCCATCACAGCTGTTTCCCATTCTTCCATAATGTTCCACCTGGCCCTCTCTCAATTTTTCTGAACTCCTGTGAAGCTTCCCACACGGTCTGTTTTATTTTGCAAATCTCCCTGCTTTTCCTAGCACTTTTGCTGTTCCCAGCTGCTGCACTGACCCTCTGAGTCTTCCCAACTTCTCTCAACACTTTCTGAGGCCTCTCTGACTTAGCCAATTGTTCCTGTCTGCTCTCTGGGTCTCTCCTGGTCTTCACCTGCCATTCATGGCCCATTGCCACCTTCTTGCAACTTCTCTCTAATGACCACAGCTCTTCCAAAGATTTCCTAAGGGCTCTTGAAATTTAGCACTAGCATTTTTATTTAAATTTTTCACCTCTGAAGCAAGTGTAGACTTACATTGGCCTTGTTAACCATAACATCTAGGACAGTTCAGAGCCAGCTTGGAAAAAATGGCGATTTAAAGACCAGGATGATCAGCAAACCTTTCCAAACCAATCCTCTCCTCATTTCTTTCATGATTGTGGGGGCTGCTGTGCAGGGAATCAGAGACTGCATAGACCTCTTCCACAATATAGGCAAGATGAAAGTGTGATTCCCAGCTTTATTTTGAACCATGGTATGGCTGTCATGTATTATGAAGATGTGTAGAAAGGAAGTACGAGCTCTTATAAAAGCAAAGCAGCCTGCTAAAGAATAAAGCCCAGGAAAAAGTCAACAAAAATATACAGAGAAGGGTGGGGTTTTTTTTAATTTTTCCCTATTTAAAAAACAAAATTAAACTATTAATTTTTCTCTAGGTAATATTTGTGTGGTTTGAATTCATATAACTATTATTGTTTCCATTATTTTAAAGGTAGTTTTCATGAAGAAGGAAGGTGCAGTAAGTGGGATCTTTAGTGTTAGTTTATTTGGAATGGTCATTTCTGTTTGAAATAATTCCAAGCCTGCTGTCTACTAAAAAAATCTAGAAATGTTTTTAGTGTCTTTGAAAAACAGTGCAAGTCATGTGTGTGAGTATTCTCTCTCTCTGTCCCCTTTGTCTCCTTCTTCTCTCCACATACACAAAATCTCATGAAATGTGGCTGTTGGGAGGGAAATTCTGTCCTGGCTTCTATTCCAGAAATGTTTTCTTTCTTAAAAAGTTCTTGATTTTCATTATAGACATCGATGAATGTGCGCTGAACATGCTGCTTTGTGACAATGGGCAATGCAGAAATACCCCTGGAAGTTTCACCTGCACCTGTCCAAAAGGATTTGTATACACTCCTGACCTAAAGACATGTGAAGGTATTTGGTAACACCCGATTTGATCCTAGTTTTACTCATTTGGATTGTTCTCAGATTGTGTCAGAAATACTTTGAACCTTAATGAGGATATAATGTGTAGAACTAAAAAAAAAACATAAAGAAATTATATGGGGAAGTAGGGGAATGAGGAGAGACAAAGCCAAAATGAAAGCATTAGATAACCTCATGGAATAGCCTGTATTAGGTCTATGTTAGCATTCTGCTTATTGACTACTACCAGTGGGCCCACACTGTGCCAAGGGTGAGAAAAACTTTAGAAGAACCAAGTTTTACAAATCTGTTACTTGTGTGGAGGACAGAGCCAGACGGCTCCTAGTTTGAACCCTTTTTGAGCCACAGACAGGATGGGTTTAAACATTGTTTAAACAACACAGTCCATCACCACAAAGCAAGGCAATAGCTCGATATCACTGAAAAATGAGATGCTGCTTCCAAGTTCAATGTTTTGATGTTCTAACATGTTAATATGTCTTTAGGACACATGCATCGTTAGTCTATTGTGAAGAGTTTCATAGTAGAAAAACAGAATATCAGGAAAACTGGTCATGAGGAAAGTTTCTTCCATTTTTCCCTAAGCTGAAAAAGGCCATATGTATTTTTGTTAACGCTTCCTGGCACTAACGGCAGTGTGTTTCTCTTCTAGATATTGATGAGTGCGAATCTAACCCCTGCGTTAATGGGGTATGCAAAAACACACCAGGCTCTTTTGCTTGTGAATGTTCTCCTGAAAGTACTTTGGATACAACCAGAACCATCTGCATAGGTATTTATTCTTCTGAAGATTTTATATTTGCTGGTTGAAAATGTCCAGTAACATACAAACACTGTACACCAAGTTTAGAAAATATTTAAAAATAACTTGTGTAGATAAATTTAGTGGAAAACGTTGCAGAAACGATGTTGAGAAAGTGTTTGTTTTCACCTGTGGGTACATAAAGTGTGACTAGCACTTGGGAGCATGGTGTGCTTCCATGTCAAATTTGAAAGAGAGATGCAATTTTTTTGTAACAAATAGAGAAATGTGAATACTACTTCTTCAGGACTATGCTCACCCACTTAATTCCTCCTGCAAGAGGGGTGGACATGTTCTCGTTAAGATCTGCTCTCTGGAAAGGCCAGTTTTCTATTTGAGATGGAGCATGAGTAAGTTGTATACAGTCCAGACCAGGTCAAGAGCAGCCACGGACAATGCTGTGACTCAGATACTCTGTGGCCTCATAATTTCTTCCCTTACCTGTTCTGGAGGGACAGTAATTTATAGCTATTGCCTAATCAGTGAGGAAAACTGTGGAACTATAGCTCTGTCTGATCCTTAGCTATCTCTTGCCACTCCCTCTATGGGAAGATCAGATATCCAGACTGGAGTATCAAACAGATTAATGGAAGCTCTGAAAAGGGTTAGTATCTACCCCGTTCTTCTGCATGTGCCTCTAATCTGAGTCATAATAAATACAATGACTCAGGGCTTGAATGTTGTTGAGATATTCCCCATTAAGATCAATAAGCATAAAGTAGGATTTGCAAGGGCTCTGTGCTGGGGTGATTTCAGGCTATAGTCCAGCATGGAGAAGGATAAATTAAGAGCTTTTAAAATAAATTCAGATCTGATGTGGTAAGTTATAATGAAAGGATGATTCTTTTTCATGGTTAAATTCAAGTGTGTTTGCAAATATATTAATGTATAATGCTAAACAATCTGCATGACAATATATTGGGTTTTTTTCCAAACAGAAACCGTTAAGGGTACCTGTTGGCAGAACATAGTGGATGGAAGATGTGAAATAAATATCAACGGAGCAACTCTGAAGTCCCAGTGTTGTTCCTCACTAGGTGCTGCTTGGGGAAGCCCGTGTACACCATGTGAACGAGGTAACGCTGTTCATTTTTCTTAGGAACCTAGGATTTTTCCTATTCTGAGGTTGGTCCAGATTATTGTCATAGAAGTTTGGGCACGGGTTAGACAAATAACTTTACTTGTTCTCTTATCAAGCACTCATTCCTTATTCTGTGTGAAAAAGAGAAGTCTTAGTATTTGAGAGGTAGCATGTAGCTACAGAAGGTTCTAACTTTGGATTTTATAGTAAACATTTTACAAGTTTAAATTCTGAAGGGAAGGGACCACACCTACAGTCTGTAACTTGCAGCATTTTTTTAGCATGGTTTGTCATAATTAGTGATCTACAGTTCCTAATGATTTAGCAATAGATGCATGTTCCCCAGAGCTCCCAAGAAAATGTTTGCAACAAATGGATCTTTGGTGTGGTAATGGAGGGAGGAGAGGGAGTAGCCTTTGTTATTATACTCTGTAGATTAATTGATGACCTAGAGAATCATATGGTTGATCAAGAAACGGGTTGAGGTCTCTCCATATTCACTTAATAATTAGACTGAACTGTGGGATGAGCTGGGAACCCAGGATGAGCTGATGAATGCAGAAGTGTGTGTGGGTTGTTATTTATATATGCTGAAAGCTGCTAGTTTGCTCAAATCTTTAGTTAACTTTATCCTGTGTATCTTAGCAGAATTCATCCTCATCCATCCGTGGTAAATAGGGCTGTAATGTGCTGTGATCAAGTTAAATGAATTAATTGATTTGAATGAAGCAGGAATCATATAACCACTTTTGGGTTAGCTGGCTAAGACATATGGGAAGCAAAAGAGGATAATGGCTGACACTCTAGATAGTTTATGTAGTTGCCGCATCTTATCTCTTTGTTATTTCAGAAAATACTGAGATACTGTCTAAGCACTCAGACTTCTCATAGCAATAAACTCTAGATAATATTTCACATGATCAGTTTTGCACAATAAGTTAATGGTGAGTTTTGGACTGTAGCGTTCTAAAAGTTCACTTTTGTTTGTTTTACAGACCCAATATGTCAAAAGGGATATTCAAGAATAAGAGGAACATTGTGTGAAGGTATTTATTGTTGCCTTAACATAAATCAAAGCTTGAATGAAAAAATGCCAGTGTTTTGATTTAAGTGGTTAATTTAGCATAGAGGAACACTATGCCAAATTCTTACCTCGTGTAGTTCCATTGACTTCATCAGAGTTATGTCAGGGATGAATTTGGTTTCAGTTTGTTTAACATTCCTGCATACTCACAGTTTATCTCATGGTACACACTTGCAAATATAGTGTCTACCAGTATAAGGAGATGGTTCTCTCTCTTCAAATACTGTTAACTGAGTGACCAATTAGGGCAAAGTATGCATCTTATATATGTTATAAAACGTGGCATTATTGATACAGTGGTATGACAAGCCATTACTATGCTTTAGAAAAAGAATGTTTAAAGAATATATTTCACATGAAAGTTTTTTTTTTTTGGTTTTTTTCCTTAACTTTGGCTTTCTTCCATGCAACATTATATGAAATCAGATACATTCCAAAGCATAGTTTCAAAGTCTTACTGGGGAAAGAAAAAAAAAAAAAAAGGGCACCAGGACACAGTTAAACTTTGGTTAAAGAAAAGGTTGAAGATTTTTTAAATGTGTAGCTTTTTGCTTGGTATGAGATGACTCTATACTATTCTGTGAGAATTGAAGGTCCCACCCTATTTCATCTTCATTTGAATTGATTTGAACCCCTGGCAAAACACTGCATATTTCCATAATATGCAGAAGCTCAGAGAGTCTCAAACTGCTGTGGGTCATCTTGACTTACAACATCTGACATGACACTGCAGTTAAAATATTTTTTAAAAATTACTCCCATATGTAGCTTCCATAAAGAAACATTGTTTTTTCCCTTAACAAAAAATAAAATAAAACAAAAAAAAAAAGAGGAACACCCTCACACATATTCTTTGCTTTCCAAATGATGACTGAATACCTTGGCACGTCTGTGTTGCAGACCCACTGTACATAACTTATCTGACCTCAGCAACACTTTCTGGAGTGTGTAATTGAAAGAAAAGGGGTGGGGGGGGAAGTGGCCCCACCTATCTCTCTTCACAAGGAAAGTCTTAGAACATTTTCAACACTGCTGGGATGGAAAGTTTAACCTTCCAAGATGTAGACATAACTGTTTTCAGCATTTCCTTTACCAGCACTTCGGATTACATCTATTACATGCTTTAATCTTTCTCATTTCAGTGGGACCTAGATAGCCCCAGATTTTTCAGAGTAGTTTCCCCTGCTTTTAACATGCTGAGGCCGTATTTGGGTTTCAACCAATGTAAGCATTTTTCAAGACAGGGGAAGATCTCTAGGAAATTTGCTGGCAAGTGAGAGACAGGACAAGGCAGTAAGTTTAGTTCCCAAAAGGTGATACTCAGTTCTCCCATACACAGCCCATGTAAAATGAGTAATGGACCTTGTGCAAGGAAATAAGCAAACTAAACTGGCAGTGTTTCTCTAGTTTACGGGTGAGCCCTGGAGTTGTCAGCTGGAATATAGTTCACAGGCTGTGAACTGTGTTTCAGTTGTTTCTAACAGTCCACTGGCTTTACTTGCTGCTTTCCAGTCAATATGGGCCTTTTATTTATAATATCTGTGCAAGGGCAGAGGCCACTGATGTCCACCCTGCTCCATGCGGTTTGAGAGCTGCAGAATCTGTTTGCACCAGTTTTGTCTGGAGGCCTAGCGAGTCCAACCTACCCACTTCTTGATTACTCCATACATGACTGTTCAGCTATAGATTATCAGTCATTCTTTTCTCATTTCTTGTTCTTATCCTCTCCTGTCTTAAAAATTGTCATGCTTCATCTTGGGCCATATTTAATGCTGCAGGCTTTTTTCCTAAAGACAGTTGTGGAGCATATGCTTTTCACAAAGGACACTGGTGGGAGGACCCCACACTTAGATTACTAAACATTTATTTATGCTCAGGCCAAGCTAACACAGTTAATCAAATTATCCTTACTCAAAAGTGCTAAATTTGCCACTTAAATACAGAAATATAATCTTTACTTAATGAAGTTAAACTCTGCGTGCAGTCATAAGGAGTTTTATTTTAATCTATATAAAATTACTAATTGCTGACCAGATCATAGGGCCAGATTTCAAAGGGTGTTGTAGTTTCTAGACATGCAGATGTGTTCCTGATAAGACAGAAACATTAAAAATACAAAAATTTAAAAAATAAAACATTAAAAAAATACAGCATAACTTAATCTCATTGGAATAATGCATAATCTCATTATGCACTTACCTTTGTCTTTCTTTGCCCATTTGCTTCAAAAATCTGGCCCACAGTGAGTATGAAAATTGATATAATTTTTAAATGCCTCTCCCTTTTTTTGTTACTTTTGAATTTGATTTCACTATATGTAGGAATGGCAAATAGCAACATGCATTATTTCTAATCATCGGCAGTTTTCTGTAATTAATTGGTTCTGGATGATTTGCATAAGAAATCCTAAATATTTGGAATTTTGTCAGGCCATGTAAACTGCTGTGGTTTTGTATTTTATCCTAAAAACTAAACATTAGAATGTTCATATTTTTTTCCGATTTGTTCATGTTTAGCATGCTAGCGATTACTTTTATTCACATTTTGTTTGGAAATAGATGTAAATGAATGTGAGGTGTTTCCTGGAGTCTGTACAAACGGGCAGTGTGTCAATACCTTGGGATCATTTGTTTGCCAGTGCCCCAGTGGAATGACTTTAGATGCTTCTGGACGGACATGTCTTGGTAGGTATTAATTCCATTTACAGGTCTACTAGGGAAGAGAAAATCTATGTGGTGAGCAATGTTTACGCTGCATGTTTTCTTACAAGTTTACAAGTCTAACAAAATTATTTTTGTCCACATAAGTAATTTTCAAATGGAATCAATCAGGGACATGAACTTAGTTCAACTGGAATATGAACAGATTCCAATGGTAGTAGCTAAAGCCCATCACCATCTGCTAGCTGGTGAATAGCATTGATTTAGTTCCAGATTGTTCGTCTGACAAATCCCTACAGATCATCTGTGCTCTTAGCACTCTTCATCTGCAGCCCCACTGAAATCACCAAGGTTGGAAGGGTGGTGGGGGGCACCATTGTGGGCTGGGACTCAGGTGTCTGAGGAGGGATGTGGTGTTCCTAGCCACACTGTATACCTTAATGGAGAGTTGAATAACCAAGTTTTGTGTGCTGTCCATCCAAAGCACCTTTGTCCCTTTGTGACAGTAAATGCCTAAGATTTGTTTCAGAACAAGGCATAGCTTGTAGTTATTAAAAGGCCTTATATAGGTATGGTAAGCTGGAATGCTTAAAATCCTCTTCTCATCCAAAATTTACTTCAAGTGTTTAGCACCATTTTTCAGAATGGCGCTTTAAACTTACTTCAACTCTTAATTTCTGAGTTTAGCTTTAATATTTTGCTGTTAGAAATCATGCAGTGTGCTTGGTACACTCCTCTGAGTCCACAAAAACATGGAGTAAACTGTCCTGTGAAGGGATTCTGGAAGAGGATTCCTCTGCAGTGAACTAAATTTTCTCTTTCTCTCTCAACATATTGTTCAATTGCCCAACAGACATTCGCTTGGAGAGTTGCTACCTGCAGCATGAAGATGAGCAATGCACCTCACAGATACCAGGCCGACACCGAATGGATGCTTGCTGCTGTTCAGTGGGGGCAGCATGGGGCTTTGAGTGCGAGGAGTGTCCTCTGAAGGGATCACCTGAATTTGAAGCTCTTTGTCCAAGAGGACCTGGGTTCTCTACGAAGATAGAGATAACTGGGAAACCTTTCTCTAAAGGTATGTGATCCGTTTGTGGTTTATTGCCAGCAAATCCTGCTGGCTTTTCCTTTTACTCTTGCTTCGGACAGTTCCTGTGGGTTTGAAGATTTCAGTGATAGTCAGGCACTTCACTCACCTTAAGGCACATTTGAAAATCCAATTAGATTTCATGGAAATTAAGGCCAGAATAAAACACAAGATAATTTAGTCTGTGTCACAGACCATTAAATACCATATAATACTGCAGCCTCAAACCTAAATTTGTGTCTCTACTAGAGAGGTTAAATTGTGCCTGACTTTGCCTCCTGTGTTGCATCTAATGGCACCTCTGGCTGATGGAATAGCTTTGAAAACCTGGCACCACATAGTACAAGAACTGGAACAAACTGAGCAGTCAGCTGTGGATGTATTGAAAGAGTAATCCTTCTTACCTGTGCAGGGTGCAATAACTTTAATTCTACTGTGGAGCAAGCAAGTGAGGGTGAATAATTTTGGGAATTTCTTGTGGAGCTATTTGGAGAAGTGCTGAAAAATGTTTCCAGAATGATAGCTCAAATCAGCAGAATTTAATTTACTGTAAACCAAGTCTTGTTATGACTGTTGTTGGTAAACTTCCAGCATTAAATTGGAATCTCACAGTGACACCCTAGCATCGTGTGCTGAAAGCCGTCTTTCCAGGGTTACCAGTGGGGTTAAGCTGGACAATGTCAGAAGCACAAATGGATGTTTGTAAATAAAGCCAGTTACCCAAAACCTAAACATTCTGAAGTCTGAAAGGAGGGGAAAATGTATATGAATGACAATTGCTGTTGTTAGTTTCAGCCTTAGTTTTACAGTTACTAAGCCATTAATTATCCATAAAGAAAAGTGACATGTGCTTTTATTTATGCTCGGCATGTTTTCTGTGACTCATGGAAGTCACATTTTTTTCTCAGAAACCAGAAGACAAGAGTGGTTCTTTTGGAAACTCCCTTTGCCTTTATAGGTTTGATCTGCTGTTCACTGAAATCTTACTGCTGACTTCAGGGAGCTGCAGATCAGATCCTGCAGGACAAAGGGACAAAGGGGAGACTTAATACCATTTTACGGCAGGCAGTGTTCTTGGCAGTTCCAGTGCAGAGTATCTACATTGTTGGTTAGGCGGAAGTCGGTCAGTTTATGTAGTGTGGTCTACAATTTTCCCAAAAGGAGAGGTCATTATCATGAGAAAGGATGAGCTCTGAAGTCGGCATTGCTCTTTTGTGCACTGTTTTTGTATGAAGTGATAACATCATATGTCCTTACTGTTTCATTTTTAGATATCAATGAATGTAAAATGGTCCCCAGTCTTTGTACCCATGGAAAATGTAGAAATACCATCGGCAGTTTTAAGTGTAGATGTGACAGTGGATTTGCCCTTGATTCTGAAGAGAGGAATTGCACAGGTAAATTGCATGGATGTATCTCTCATAACTTTGATTTGAAAAGGAAAAACTGAACTCCTTTGAAAATACTGTGAATGTGTTTTGTGTTATAGATATTGATGAATGCCGCATCTCTCCTGATCTTTGTGGCCAAGGCATCTGTGTCAATACACCCGGAGACTTTGAATGTGAATGTTTTGAAGGCTATGAAAGTGGATTTATGATGATGAAAAACTGCATGGGTATGTTTTTTATAGACCATAGATGTGCAATATTATGCTATGTGCTAGAATGCTATGCCTGGGGTTTTTTTTTGTTTGGTTGGTTTTGGTTTTGTTTTTTTTTTTAACTTTTTTGAAGGTTTGATTGCATCTGGGTTTAGGTCCCTCTCATTTTGTGTGTCTTATTAAAGCTCACTTTAACTTGATTTCCACCCCAAATGTGAATTCACTGCTTCTGCAGGATGCCAATGTGTAAATGAGCAAGGGTCAGGATTTTAGGATGTTAAATTTATCCCCACAATCCCCATTTTACGAAGTGGGACACCATCCTGAACTTTGAAGTTAGAGTAGGTTAATATTTAGAAAAGGCTTTTTCGAATTTATTGTGTTTTATTTTTTTAACTGCACTGTGGTATAAGGGATGACTAGCTGTAGGAAAGGCTCCAGAGCCGATATAGGCAGATGGTGCTGTGATGGGTAGCAGACTATGGGAAGGGATGGGCTGCTGCTGTGGCAGTGCTGGCCGCTGCAGTGATGTGCCTTGTCTTCTCCCCACAGACATCGACGAGTGTCAGCGCAATCCCCTTCTCTGCCGAGGCGGCACCTGCATCAACACAGAGGGAAGTTTTCGGTGCGATTGTCCTCCAGGCCATCAGATATCACCAAATATCTCTGCCTGTATAGGTGAGACATGCAGGCAAAATCAATACTGTGCACAGCTTTTTATACCGCTCTTTTGCTGCAGGTGCATTTACAATGTTTGCTTTAGTATCATTTTCATTCAGACCCAAAATGCATTCCTCTTCTTCTTTTGCAACAGACATTAATGAATGTGACCTAAGCACCAGCCTGTGCCGAAACGGACATTGTGTCAACCTGATTGGAAAGTATCAGTGTGCTTGCAACCCTGGATATCAGTCCACACCTGACAAGTTATACTGTGTTGGTAAGGACAAAATCTACGTGGGATCTCTAGTGAATAGGGAAGATAAAACACAAATAATTGTTTCATCTTTAGTAGTTGTATGAAGACATTCTTAACTGTGATTCAAAAATCTAGTACAGTCTGTCAAAATTGTATGCAAAAAAATCAAAATGTGCACATCCATTACATGCAAGGAATGAATGAAATAATGGCAGTGCTACAATTAACTGTGTAATAGCTTATTTTCTCTAGTAAATCAATTATGCATAAAATAGCATACTATTTTAAATGGCCTAAGACTTCAGAATTTGATCATTAAGAAGGAATAACTTGTTAAATCCTGAGTCCTGTATTTTATTAAAAATCAGCATTCCTGACAGACCATGGAGTAGAATCATGTGGTTCAATTGAATTTTTCCTAATTTGATCTGCAATTGTCTCAAATGTAGGCCTTTCCAGTAACTGTTTCCTTAAAGCCACATTTTGTAAAAGACATTTAGCTTAAATCACATATTGTGCACTCTTTTATGTGCATACATTTTATTGTGCCACGGAAATACATGAAAAATCCACTGGCTTTAATTCTGCCTAGTAGATAATTTTTTCCCTTGATCCTTACAAAACCTTTGTTGCCTTGATGATACTGTGGTAACCCAACAGTGGTCTTTTTATATGTAGAAAGAGAACTGCAGAGGTATTTGTATATACCGTCAGATAATATCATCCCTTTAAATGCCTGACATCCATCCCAATACCTATATTTGCAAACACTTGAATGTTCAAGGAGTGTGCAAATGTCAAGTGTAGATTCTGGTTTGATGCTGGTTTGAAAGCTGACTCAAAGTGTGTCCTTGAAATGTGCTTTAAAGTAAAAGATACTGTGTGTTTTAACTGTACTTTTCTACTTTTTAGATATTGATGAATGCAGTATAATGAATGGTGGCTGTGAGAACTTCTGTACAAACTCGGAGGGCAGCTATGAATGTAGCTGTAAACAAGGCTTTGCACTCATGCCAGACCACAGGACATGCACTGGTAAGGGAGATTTTGGGAACTCTTCCGCTGAAAGGGTTTATTTCAATAGTTTAAAAACGGATCTGCTTTTTAAGATTAAAACTATTGTAAATATACTGTTAAAAAAAAAAAAAGTAATTAATGCACGGAAAGCTAAGTTCTTTCTCTAAAGTAAACATCTCCAAAGTATCAGAATTGGACAACTGCAGACTGAATTGCTTTGAAGGGAATTGATTCTTCATAATTTCAGAAAGTATACAAGTTGATTCTGTTTGGTAACAAAAAGCTGTCATTTTTTCAGTAGGAGATAAATTTTTTCCCTTAAGGTATTATATTAGATCCAAATCCAAAATGTGTTGAAGTCAATGGAAAGAATCATCATAAACATAAGCCAAAATGCTCTGCATGCGTACTGTGTGGTTATATTGGAGAGAGAATAGACAGAAATGCTAGAAGAGGAGCTGATTGCCCTGTTCTGTGGTTGTGTGCTCTTAAGCAAGCAAGAAAATTCCTATTTTTAATTCTTTGTTTAGTCAAATGCAAGTATGCTGCATTACTTCAAAACTGAATGACTTTCAGACAAACTGAAATCTGAAGAGTATGAATCTTTCTTAGGAAACAGCTCTCTTGCACTCTAAACAGCGTTTGTGAGAAAATTTTCAGAGCTCTGTAGTGGCTGGGTGTTCTCCTTTGGGAGTCTGGGCGTCATAAATCCCAGTAAGTGAATTGTACTCCGTGATTTCCACATAGGTTACTGGAAAGATAATTCTACCCTACTCATCTCTTACTTCTTGCTGCACAACCACTGGCCCGCTGAGGCATGTGAATATTTGCCAGCTGTTTGCCAATTCCATCCAAGAGCTCCTTGAAGAGCATGAGAAATATAACAGGGTTAATCCCTTGGAATAGAATTACCTTTATGGTTGAACAAATGCAGAATTCTCTATACTGAATTAATAGAGAGAGCTCACAAATATTTGTAGACCTCTGACCAGGATCTCGGTTACCCTGAGGCCACTCGCTACCATTCCAAAGGATAAAAGAGCCTTAAAGCATAGTTAAATGTAGTTTGCCCGCGCCCCGCCCCACCCCTCCCCGTTGTAGCTTACACTGTCAGAAAGATGTAAAGTAGCCAGTCTTCAGCAAGGACGGGACCCTTGTTCAAAGAAAGAAATCAATTAGAAAAAGGGCAAATTTGACTGACCCTGAAGTTAAGTATTTCAAAACCTAGAATATTTAGATTAGAAATAGTTTGCTTTAGGTCAAGTTTCTAGAAGAGGCAAGTTCGTACAAAAACTTGCCCAAACGTTGGTGTTCGGGGCACTTTTTCAATGCAAAAATAAAACCAGTTGATCAAAATTGTGCCTCAGCCAAAATCTAAACCCAAGTGATGGGATTAGAGGGACATGAGAGGGAAGGGAGGAGGAGGTGGGGAGCGGGGTTCTCTGAGCCACTTTTCTGTTTTCATCTTCTTGGCTTGACTGGGGACCAAATGACCCAAGTGTATACTTGGGCAGTCTTGGGGATCTCAAGTCTTACTGGCTAGAAAGAGTTCTGTGCTTTACTCCTGCTTGCCCTTAGCCACTCAAAGATATCTCTAAACCCAAAACCAGAGCTGATCATTTAGAGCACCTTCCTGCGTATTAAACTAAAAACTTCGGAATAGAAAACAATCATCTTTCCCTTCTCAAAATTAAAAAGGGAGGAAGCAATTGCCTTTACTGTGGGGAGGGGATGGGTTCTCAGTGTTTTTGTCCACACATTAACTAACTTGACCATAAACATGTCCATAGAAGTTTGTGGTCAGATCTTACCTGGGTGAGGAATAAAAAAGCATCTGATCTTAGTAGTGAATTTTTGCATGTTTATGTCTAGCCTTAACTCTGAAAAATAGAATTTCATTCATAGGTCAGCCAGTAATAGCTATTAGCTATTCATTTTCATAGTCTCTTCTAAGAAAGACTTGAATGCAATAGCCAACACATAAAAAGGTTTAAATAGCAGAAACACCAGACACCTTTGGAAGTCAAGTCAAACTCTACCTAAGAAAATATCCAGAGATGTGAGAGGTCACCTTCACCATCCTTTTAGTATCTAAAAATGCTGCCACATTCTCTTGAAGATATGTTAATTACATATATAAACATGTGGTGAATATTAAAAATTTGCATGCTGAAATTTTGCCTCTGCCCAAACTGGGTGAAAAATAAGAAAAAATGTATTTTATGACATTTTCTACTCATTGCACTGAATATCTGGCTTTACTGTGTTAGGCGTTTGTGCATGGTACAATATATTGTAGCACTGTGACCCGAGTATGTGAAACACCTATTTTACATTTTCAGTTTGCTTTCTGTGTGAACATGTCTTTTATCTTTAACATCATACAAAGCTGGAAGCCATTACGGAATATATTTCTTCATAATTGAGCTGGTAAGAATGCTGTTCAGTTCAGTAGTAGGTCAGGTTTGAATTGGTGAGGTTATGCATAAATAATCAGCTCAATTAGGAGAAACAACAGGTTCTTTGTCAGCTGATTTTCCCCCAACTGTGAAATCAGTACAGTGACAGGTTAGTAAATAAAGTTCATTCTTTCTGTCATTATTATCCCCATTTCTAGAGCTTAATTTTGCATGTTAATTCAAATTCCGTTCCAAATTAACATTTCCAGGCTAATGTCCATGGCAACATTATTTGCTTGTTAAGATGAACAGGGACTGGTCAGCCTTCTTCCTTGCAGAAGTTGTGTATCCACACAAGCACTAGCTGCTAGAAATATGGAAGAATAATGAATGTAATATATTAAGTTAAAGTGAGTTCATTTTCTGCAGCTGCATAATTACTGCAATCCACAATAGACTGGTCTGATAATGAGTTACACCCTTTCTCTTGGAGGGGGTTCCTGAATCTTGTCCTTTTTGTGCTGATTTTTTTCACATTTTATCACTAGGCAGAGTTTCTGATTTTTGCTCTCGCTGGTCTATGTTGGTGCTGACACAGGGAGATTCTAGGGATTTTTACAAGGAACACTAATATAACCCCAGGGACTCTGAAAGATTCCAGACCTTAGCATGGCTGCATTAACATAATAAAGTGTCTGCTTCTGCAGCTTGGCCCCAATCAGTGATGGCCAATTTCATGAACTGAGAAAACAACTTACATGCTAGAGGATGTAACTATATGGCTGGCCTTGCCAGTCAGCTGAAATGCTAAAAAAACCCATAAAATCTCTTAGTGAAATAAATGTATGTACTGTAATTATTCCCATCATGAGTTGAACTCCGTGTTTCCAGTTTGTTGCCACCCTTGAGACCTGTAGAGGTATTCTGCATGTATGATGGCTTTTTTAAGCTCTGTGAAGTCCGGTATTTTTGTCACTGAATTTGACTTCAGAGCTTCCTTTGACTTCAACAATGATGGATTGTATCCAAGAATCTCCAGTTGTATGTGGCCATGTGCTGTGACAAAGGTTCTGTATTTTTTTCTTCTGTTGATGACTTTTTTTACCTGCAGAGTTGGTTCCTGTTTCCATTGGAGTCAGAGGGGAATGTTTGCCACTGACTTTAGCTGGAGATGAGGAGCTTACTCATCAGGACAATTTTGCAATGTACTGTTCAGTTATTTGCAAGGATTCAATCTTTATCACGTTTATCAGAGCATTAAAATGTTTGCTTGCCGTGATTATGGTTAGTTGCATTGCATAAAGGTAGCATATTTTAATCTGATTTTTCCCTGTAGATATTGATGAGTGTGAAGACAATCCTAACATCTGTGATGGAGGCCAGTGTACAAACATCCCAGGAGAATACAGGTGTCTTTGCTATGATGGATTCATGGCATCTGAAGACATGAAGACTTGCATAGGTAAGTCAAAGTACATATTTAACAATCTGCATTAACTAGGGAAAAAATATTTATTAAGGCACTATTTCCAAGTAGGCAGACAATAATATTTAAAGAGTACTGCTCTTATGCCCTAATTTTGGCCACCTGACCATAGGACCAGCCCCATTGCACAAGCTATGTTTATCAAATGCAGATGTAATCTCTGTATATCCCTGTAGACTGGGATGCAAACATGATGATCTATAGCATTGTATCTTTGGGTCCTCTTCCAGTGAGGTTTTTATGCAGCTCAGATGAGAGTGCTTGCAGAAAGGAAGTGCTGGTGGATGATGCCGTGGAAAATTTCTAGCAAGGTAAATCACCAGTGCTGATTTAAACTTGTCTCTAAGACAAAACTATGTGCAAGTGCTGTACCTTGGTAGAAAAAAGTAATGAAACAGTGTATCTCCAAAACCAAATTTTCACATTTAAATTAAAAATCTGGAGTGTATTTGAGGAGAAATGTTTGTTCCAAACTAGGTAATATATGCGTGCATATATTAATGTATATACACATACATACATATAGATAGAAGGCATCAATAAATAGAGATAGTCATTCTTTGGATAACATGCTGAATATCAGTCTCTATTTTTAAGGAAAGTTGGAATTAAAGGTATGTTAATGCAGATGTGGTAATATAGCAGTGTTAAACTAGATCTCGAAATGTACGCTAGGTAAGAAATAACTAACCTAAGCAGTTTTCTCTTTGTATAAGTAGACCATTTTTGTACCAAAACATCATATTGCAAGAGATTTTGCCAGTTACTTTCTCAGAATTTTATTTAATAAACCTTAATTCATGGTTTTTTTAGATGTTAATGAGTGTGATCTGCATCCAAACATCTGTCTGAGTGGAACCTGTGAGAATACAAAAGGCTCATTTATCTGTCATTGTGATATGGGATATTCAGGCAAGAAAGGCACAACTGGTTGCACGGGTATGTTTTAATGTTTAATTATTAACTTTTAGTTAAACTAGAGAGTCTGCATGCCCTTTTCTCTAGTGTTCAAAATCTCCTCTTACTGTACTTCTTTTCACTTATTTGTGCTAAATGTTGTGTCTCTTATCCATATTTGCTGAGCTTGTGTTCTGCTGAACTTCAGTGGCACAGCATTCAGTAGCACATGCTGCTTCTGCTGAAATGAATGACAAAATGTCCACTGGGAACAAATGTGGGCTTATTAGTGCATTGCTGTTGGTCTAAGAGAACAGAAAATGCCATTGCCTGTAACTTGACAGACTCCTGAGGACCTCGGTGCATTTGGATTAGTTAATTATATACTATGCATGCAAATAACAGGTATCTGTTCCAAGCGTTATTTTGGCAAACACAGATGGCTTGAAATATGTGCTAAAATATATTTTCAGTTTTTTAAAAGTGGCAACAATACAGCTAGTCAACTACATTATATCAGCAAAATCAGAATTTGTATTATTTCATGTATTGCCAGCAAACAGAAATGAGATTCAAATATACAGGCTCCAAGGGCATGATATTAATAATCCTAGTGCTGGTGTCTCAAGCCAAGGTGTTGAGAGTCTTAGGCTTTGCCCAAATATGAATGCAAACATATGTTTAATATAATTTTTAATGTAGACTTACGGTAAACACATTTCTGGCAATGTCTTTGAGACAAACTTTTATTCTTAGTCTGCCCTTATTCTACAGAGTTAATAATATACTTCTGTAAGTGCCCCAAATATACGAAGCTGGTTTTTTACAGCTCTCATAGAAAAATCTGAGAGCTGGAGTTGTACTTTGCATATTGGACTGTGGACGAATAGTTGTGCATTAGTAACAGCTGCCTTTGACTTACATATGAACTGATCTAAATCCAAGAAATCCCTAATTGTACCCTGTAGACCAACATTTCAATGTTCTTTGTTTCTGTGCTAAATTATATGAAGACCTTCAGTACTCTAGACCTGAAAACCCTCGTGCTGATCAGTTACACATGGCGCAGCTATCACTCCCAGCGTAATGAGTGATGGTCAGGAGCAGTCAGGGAAGATGAAGCAACTAGTAGAAGGCAAAACAGAGAAAGGTCGTGGAGGCAGGGGAGGAATCTGAGGTATGGCTTCTGGGGAAGTGCCTGGAAATAGCCACCATTTTGGCAGCATGTGACGCAGGGTAGTGGCAAATGTCCCAAGCAATAGTTTTTTGTTAACGGAGAGGCAGGGAAATCCCTCCCTTCTGGTCCCAGCCAAGCCCAGCCCTCTGGATGGACGCTGTCTGTCATGTGGGCTCTTCCCACAGCCTCACACATCTTTATCTTTCCCTCAGCCCATCCTCTGCTGCTTTTGGCTATCTGCCGGTGTCCCAGGGAGGATGGTACTCACCAGGAAAACCACCAGGACACCTTAATTACAATAGATGCTGTAGAGGGGCTCAGTAATTTCAAAGAGGCCAGTGGTCTAAGACAAAAAGGTGAAGTATCAGTGATGCTGATACAGCTGATATGGGATCATACTCAAAATAGATCATCAAAATCTTTTGGTTTTAAATAAGAAAAGGGAGGAAGCAGAGCAGGAACTTTCTAGGTTGGTTTCATGCTGAAGAAACTGTGGATACAGGTCCCATTGTGACTACAGTATGCAGATTCTCACATTCTGGTTTTTAAAACTCTGATTTTCTGCTGGAGACCTTTGAATTCCCCACCTCATGTTTGCACAGTATTAGAGCAGAGCTGAAGTTCCCAGGCTCAAGTACTGCAGACTGTGAGAGCATCCCTCAAGACTTCTTCTGGAGGGACGTTGCCAACAGCACCTTGACCACAGGATTCAATTCTTGTCTTACAGACAGATCAAAAGCATCCACATTTTTTAGGAACTCCCGTGGAAAAAAATTACAAAAATGTGTACAACACTTTGAATGGGAGGTTCTCTGTTTCATGAGAACAACTAAATAACGTCCTCTGGGTTCCATTACAGTTTTGTCTAAATATTTCAGCTCCCTTGTCATTACTGATTGTTTCCATTTTAACAAATAAACATGTTTTTTTCCCCAATCATTTAACAGTATTCAGAATCCACCCACTGACTTACATTCCCATCCCACACAGATGTTAGTTCCCCTCCTCCTTGGTTCTCAGTAAGAATGTGGACAGTGTTTAGTAACAAAAATATAATTTTTTAAAAATTATGCAAAAATATACGTTGTAGATGCAGGTTTCCTAGGCAAAGTGCTACAAATGGTTTAATTTCCATTCACAAGGCAAATTGTGGCAAGACTGACTTGGAGCAGTTCATTTTAGATTTTTCTAGACAGGCAATGGTATGTAGCCACTAGAGAGAAGATTGCAAAGTTTTCCCCTATCCCAGTTCCAGATTGCCCAGCTTTATGACAAATATCTTGTCTCTGCTTTTGCTGTCAATAAAGTATACATGTACTTGTGCAGAGATGAAATCCTGTATTGGCACTTGCATTTGTATTTTGTGATTCATCACCACTCTGGAGTATTGCCTGTAAATTTGCAATATTTCACTGTTGATGTAGAGCCTTAGATTTACTTGCTCTGATGTTTTCACAGAGGAACAAATTCTTCTCTGACTCTCTCCCATCCATCCTTGCCAGTTACGGCTGTGTGCGCAGACCTCCTGTTTGCTCCTGGTGGAGCTGTGCTTGCACAGGCTTAGGGCGCTCTTCACAATGTCAAACTGAATGAGGTGAACTTGGGGGCAGAAGTTGCCCAAGATGGTCATCAGATCAAAAGTAAATGTGCTCTAGAAGTCAGCTGGATTTCTCCACAGCAGGCTCAGGGAGTTGAAGGGCTGAGACCAGGCTCTGACTCTGCAAGGGCCATGCTGGTGCCGTTTGGGGAAAGGCTGGTGGAGGATGTTCAGCTGCAGCCTTGGTGTGGGGTGTGAGGTTAGAGAGTCTAGTCTTGAACATTACTTGCTGTCATCCAGTAATGATGGTGATAGTGGATAAAGGAGGAGGAAGTGCACACTGCATACTTGCATGGCTGACAATAACATAGTTATAAAGAGAAGGACACCTGATATGGTGAAAGGAAGAGGTGAGCCCTGTCATTTGCCCTCAGAAATAGGTCCGTAACATTTTGTGACTTGTACAATGTGCTTGCCTCTCTCCCCTGCCTTTGGCTTCTGGCCATTAATAATACATTGTGTTTCAGTCTTGATGGCACAAGAGAGTTCTGGTATCAGTGAAACAAGTACATTTCCCCTTATGAATCTGGGAGCTGGCTGTGTCAGGCCAAATACCAGAAGATAATAATATTAAGATGTTGCCCGCCAAATGGGGGTATTACAGAAGGAGCGTATTGTGAGTAGGCGTCTGTCCAGCAATAACATGCTGCGCCCCAGGCTGATGACGTAAGGATGGATGGCCAGCAAGAAGTGAACTGCCCCATGTGAAACTCCAAGAGGTGCTTACCGTGCAGTATGCTGAATAAAATCCAAGAGTGATTCCAAAAGAGAAAACAATTTTACAGGTAGAGAGATCAGAATAGGGGAATTTTTCCGTATGTTTTTCTACTTGTGTGAGCCCTAAGTTGAAATTCACAGTCTTCTCCCTCTGAAAGGCCTTCCCTTTTACCAACCTGATTACATGGGCAGCGACCCAGGAGGAGGAAATGCCTTGTGACTTCCACCAGACGACTGGCCCTGTGGGAATCGGGCCCAGGCTTGAAACACCAGTGAAACGTCAGTGCGATAAAATGCACAGATATGCAGAGAGCGCCAAAAAAAATTTAAAAGTCAGAAAATACTTAAGGGATTTGCATAATTCCTGACAAACAGTACTGATTTATAGGTGGAGACTGAATTAAATTCACTCTTTGCTAAGAATCCTTATAGACTATTGAAGCCCCAATGAAACTTAACAGAAAACGTAAATGGTACACAGAGTATCTTGAGGATTTCATGCCCTGTGATGAATGTGTGAATTTTTGTGGGTTAATGTTCACTCTCATTCTGTTCAAACATGGGGAATAACTTGGGTGTTTCCAGAGTATAGGTGAGAATACGGTGACTTATCCCCATGCTCCTCTCTGGCTGAGTTTAATGATCTACTTCCAGACTGCGTAGAGATGCACTGTGCAGGTACTGGCTAGCTGTTTCTTTTCCTTTGGTTGCCACGTTTGCAAGCATAGTGCCAACGTGACAGGTATATATGATGTGTATTTTTGCTGCACATCCACAGCCCTAAAAATTTGTGCCTCTGTGATTAATGGGAGAGATGCTTTATTAATTGCCAAAGGCTTGAGAGAAGAAATATTTGTCCATAGAAGAGAACTGAAGGAGCCAACAAAATAGGGTGACTGACAGTTTTTTTTTCCCCAGGGTGCTTGGGATTGTTATGATGTCAGATCTGCATATTATTTATCATGCGTATTCTCATCTGTTGTAGGCAGACAACTCCCTTAGTATTAATGGGAGTTGTGCAATTACAAAGCTGAGAACATGTGTGCAGCAGGACTGGGGCACAATGGGACCGGCTGAAGATGCAGTGTCAGTCTTGGATTGGAATGTCTTTATTTTTCTTGGCTTGTCACAGCCTCATACTGGAGGCAGAAGGAGAAGGCTGATATAAATCAGTGACTCACTCCTTTACTCTTTAGTGAAAATCCCCCTGAAGTCAATCGGAATAGGCCATCATTGTGTGAAACCCTGACTTGAGTCTTGCCCTCCTGTGTGCTCTTTGGGTCATGATACCTTTACTCAGACTGAGTAATGCCTTTCTCTTCAAACAATTACACAAAAATAGTTCGAGTATTTGAAGAGTGTAGTACTGTTTGTACTGCCATGCAGACAGCACAATCTGGACTCTTGCTCTTATTAAAGATATTTATGTTGAGTTAATTTTTCCCCTACAGAGCTCAACTTCTCCTTTTTGTTTCGTTCTGTGAAGCCATAATTCAATACTTATGGCAACATAAATCCATATTAAGCTCCAGTATAAGCAGGCATAAATTC